AAATCTCTTTGACCAAGATTTGGGTACTCAGTGTCACATACCCCAACACCCTCATTGGCATAAACCCACCTCTCATTATAATATTCATTCTCTCTCATTACTTTTTCACTAATTAGAGTTGATTGTCATCCTCAGAGATTGTCGCCTTATATGCCCTTCCAAGGGTATATAAGCACTGAATGGAATAATCATTGAAGGCTCCTATGAGGAGCCTTTGTCAACTGAGAGTTCACTGACCCCTTTGATTGGTGATATGCTAACATTGTTAATAAAATGACTAATTACCCAGGAACTATATCTCTCAAACTCTGTAAACATCACACTATGCCAATGATGTCACAGATCCAGTCCCCACTCCCATCATAAATCAGAACAACATGGCATGAATAGGTTGTGAGCTGCACAAGGACAGCAAATACTTATCCTGAGGACATCATGCCTGCATACGTGGAAATACTAATGTAAACCATACCAGCACAGGCAGTCTGATTTAGCAGCTGCCTACACCTACAAAGGTTCTCTCTGAGCTTTTCTTTCCCTGATTCTGGAGCTTCAGAGACAACATCATGTTCTGGGATTGAAGCCAGGAAGCCTGGCATCAAACTTAGGCTTATTGATTTACTCCTGTCTGTTAATGGGCAAAACAAACTTCTCGGGGCCTTAGTTTCCTCATTTGTAAAACTAGGATTCCTGCCACCCGAGAATCCTATGACCCCTATAATGCCACTGGCATGAAAGGTTTGATGCCCTCCTTCCTGCCCCTTCCATTGCTGGAGCTTTTACTGTAGGAAATCACCCCTCAGCCCCACTGCTGATTGTTGGAGTGTCTGAAAGAACATCTCTGCCTGTCCTTTGTTGGATCCCCTTCTAGAGTCCCCTAGGTTGGCTGTGTTGAGGTAGGGGCTGGAGGAAGAGTGACCATTTCTCTCCCTAGTGTCCTTCCTCCACTCCCATAAGGAGAGAAGAGTCATGCATTCTATCATCTGTTTTCTGGGATCTATGTAAGTCATCAGAATTAAGAGTTCAGAGGCCTCTTAGTATTGCTTTCATTTACATTAGTGTAGTATATGTATGTGTGTACATGTTCTCTTGTTGTTGTTCAGTTGTTTCAGTTGTGTCTGACTCTTTGTGACCCCTTTTGGGATTTTCTTGGTAAAGATACTGGAGTGGTTTGCTGTTTCCTTCTCCAGCTCATTTTACAGATGAGGGAACTATGACAAATAGGATTAGGTGACATAGGTAGTAAGTGTATGAGGCCAGATTTGAACTCAGGGAGATGAGTCTTCCTGACTCCAGGGCCAGGGCTCTACCCATTGTGCCACCTACCTTCCCCATGATGATAACTACGAGTTCTCAAAGCCCATGCCAGCGGAATGTAAGTTTTTTAAACTCTAAAATTTCAGCTTTTCTATGCTATTTACAGTGTTTTCTGTCTCATGTCCACTTAAAATGATTAGTTTCAAGTTGCACAACAACTTTGTGACCTCCTTGTGGTTATCATCTATGTATCTATGTATCTATCTGTCTGTCTGTCTGTCTAGTTCTTATCTCCATCGATGGAATGATAGTCCCTTGAAAGGAATAGGGACTGTTTCATTCTTTGTATTTCTATCTCTAGGGCTTGACACATAGTAGGTCATTAATAAATGCTTATTGATTGATTGACTGAATTATTTCACTGGTCAAGAACAATATTTTTCCAGTTTTCTGAATTAGAATTAATGCTGAATTTGCTCATTGAAATGTTGTAAATTATTGTTCAGGTGACAGGTCAAAATAAAGTTTTGTAGAAAGTTCTGGGAACCTAACCGCCATTTCTAACATTAATTTTCTTTTTTCCTTTCTTTTGGCAAGGCAATCTGGGTTAAGTGGCTTGCTCAGGGTCATACAGCTATTAAGTGTCAAGTGTCTAAGGCCAGATTTGAACTCAGGTCCTCCTAACTCCAGGGCTGGTGCTCTGTCCACTGCACCACTTGCCTCACCCTATAACACTGTTTTTCTATGTGGAAAATGCATTTCAGTTTTCAAACACCTAACTCTCAAAAGAATTTTCTGACCATAATCTGTTTCTAAATTGAGAACTACCAATATGATTCCATTTCTCTTTGAACATTGGTTGGATGGCATTATACATAAGATTTCACAACTCTAAACTTCAGAAATAACATTTAAGGGGGCAGCTAGGTGGCGCAGTAGTTAGAGTAGCAACCCTGGAGTCAGGAGGACCTGAGTTCAAACGTGACCTTAGACACTTACTAGCAGTGTGACCCTCGGCAAGTCACTTAACTCCAATTGCCTAAAAAAACAACATTTAAGAAATAGCATTTATAAGAAGATATTTTCATGAAGCAAAGGGAAACAATGTTTTACTTAAATTTAGTATCACTTGGCAGAGGTATTTCTGAGACTGGGTATCTCTTGTCTTGACTAAATATGATTTTCTCCAAAGAAGGATCCAGGTAAGGTTATCTTTAATCCTGGTCTGGATGTCATTCCTAGGATTGCCCATTAGGACAGGGAAACTGGAGGCAGATTGGGGTATGGGTAGAATTATTTGAATAAGAGATAAGCAGAGTCCACTTCATTGTGGATTGAGGGAAGGAGGGAAGAGCCATATCCTTTCCATCATGAGAATTTAGAAGTTAAAATCAACATAGCACCCAAAGCATTCCCATCAGGCATCTGGGAGAGACTTTTCTGGCCTTGGTTAGTCTTTGGTTTCAGAGTGAAATGGGATTCAGGTCTAGGAGAATACCTTCTTGTACCTACATTTCACCCAATTCCTTATGATGTCCAAGTAACATCCTTGCTAAAGCATGTGGTAGGTTCTTGTTTGTTATGGGTACTTGCATATATAAACAAATATTTCTCATTATTAGTAGGGATCTAATATTACCATTAGTTGAGCTGAAACAAGGTTGACAAATTCATGTCTGTTTGGGTCAGAGCTTTCATTTTCCTTATTCAGAAAAGGAACCCAATGAACATTTTCTGAGTTTGATGCCAGTCAATGAATATACTGAATTGTACTGATCTTTTTTTACTTAAGCTTAATAAAAAGCAGGAAATAGAGGGAAAACTTATCCAACCTCCCTAAGCCCAAATCTGACTACTAAAAAGTTAAAATAAAATAACCTTTTCCTTTTTACACCTATCTAAAAATATACTACAGTATAGAGCAGGCTCTCTCCTGTTCTCAATTGATGTCATTCTTGCCAAGGAAACAGGATGAACTTCATCAAGTAGGCTTTTACTGTGTGTAAGGATGTGCGTATTTTGGCTTTACTCATAGTCATTAAGAAAAATTAATATTTGTACTTTTTCCTTGCAATAACTTAAAAATGCCAGCAAGATGTCTTTTCAAGAAAAGGTACTTCTAGGAAACCAACGTATCCCTTGCATGGTCTAGAATTAAGAATTTCTAGCACAGAAGGCCATAGAAACACGTGGTACCCACTATGGATTTTTTTTTCTTTGAAAAACAGAATTTTTAAAGCTTACTATTGCTAGGCCTAAAGCCCATATCCTTCTGTCTCTGAACTATGACCCACAGATAAGCTCTGCTTGTTCAGGTTTTATTTGGGTCTCTTTTATTATCTGAAAAAGATATCAAGATAATAAATCTGAAACAGTGGTTGTCCATAGACCGGGTAATGGCTGAACAAATTGTGGCATATGAAAGAAATGGAATACGATTGAACATTAAGAGATTACCAATCTGAGGGATTCAGAGAAACACAGGGAGACTTTTGTGTACTAATACAATGTGAATTAAGCAGATCCAAGGGAACATATGGGGCAGCTAGGTGTTACAGTGGATAAAGTGCTGGACCTGCAGTCGGGAAGCCTCATCTTCCTGAGTTCCAATCTGGCCTCAGACACTTAATAGCTGTGTGACTCTGGGCAAGTCACTTAAGCCTGTTTGCCTCAGTTTCCTCATCTATAAAATGAGCTTTAGAAAGAAATGGCAAACCACTCTGATATCTTTGCCAAGAAAACCCCAAATGGGGTCACAAAGATCCAGACATGACTGAACAACAAGGGAACATGTACACAGTATCTACCCTAATATAAATGAAAACAATACTAAGAGGCCTCGGAACTCTGAATGGTGATGACTAATACAGATTCCAGAGAACAGATGATGAAGTGCATGGTCCCTCTCTCTTTAGAGGGGTGAAAAAACTATGTGTGATGAACACGCCTATGCTGTTAGACAAGGTCCTGCGTCTTTTAGTTCTGCTTCATTTTTTCATTGTTGCAAGGGAGGGTTCAAAGCCCTTGCTGGGAAACAACTGTGACATAAAATCAAAGGATATCAATAAACTAAAATAAAACAAAACAAAACAAGACAAAACAAATGACTTGAAGAAACAGGAGAGGAACCATAGAAGAGAAACTCATATGATCAAAAGATTAGGAAACAGGTTTCCAAATGCTAGTGGGATTGGGAAGATTGGTTTTTATTGGCGTACAGGGTCATTTTCTTGTTTGGTTTTTTTTTTTTTTAGTTGTACTACAATCTAGTTTATGATACTTACATACATCACAGCTCTGAAAATGTTTTAATACCATATATGGAAAAATTATTTTCATTAAGAAAGGAGTAATCTTGTTTGTCATTGGGTATAATGATCTTTTCCCCCTTTAATAATGAAACATATGGGTGCTCACTTAATCCTCACAATAACTCTTCCAGGCTGGTACTCTGGTTGTTATTATTTCTATCTTATCGATGAGGAAACAGATTCAGAAAACTCAAATGACTAGCCAGAGACATACTGTTCGTAAATAATGGAGACAGAATTCAAACACAGGTCACTTCTACCTCTAAGGCCAGCACTCTTTCCAATATTCCCAGGCTTTCTCCAAGAACCCATCTGTTGTAGCACACATTGTTACATAGCAGGGAAGTAACCTATATTCCAATATTACCTGACACAAACATAATATCAATTGATGTCTACTATATTTGTTCAGAAAGTGGTAAATTATCTTACCTGGTGTTTGGTTTTAGATTTTCTATTGTAGAGAAGGTTTGATTTGTTGTTTGAACAGATTCCTTCTTCCCAGTAGGTTCTCCATTTTCTTTGGATCTAACTTCATATTCTAAAAAAAGAATAAAAGAGTCAAAATTAATCAAATAATAACAATGTTAACATTAATATAAAATTTTAAGGTTACAATGCAATTTCCTTACAACAGCCTTGAGGTAGCTAGAGGATTATTACTATTATTTCTATTTTACAGCTGAAGAAATTGAGTCACAGAGAGGCTGAGTGTCTCCCATAAGATAACACAGCCAGTAAATGGTAGAACCAGGATTTGTACCTGTCTTTTGAAGCCAGATGCAAAGCTCTTTCCACTGTAATAGATTAGTTAATTGAATAGTTACTCCATAAGTTTAAAGTGAAACAATTAACAACCAAATCTAGAATTTTTTTTTCAGGTTTTTGTTACTGAACAGTTTTTCAGTCATGTCTGATTCTTTGTGACTTCATCTGGGGTTTTCTTGGCAAAGATACTGGAATAGTTTTCCATTTCCTTCTCCAGCTCATTTGACAGATGAGGAAACCTAGGCAAACAGGGTAAGTGACTTGCTCGGGGTTACATAGTAAGTGCCTGAGGCCAGATTTGAACTCATGAAGATGATCTTCCTGACCAGTCCTGTAGCTCTATCCACTGTGCCACTTACCTGGCCCAAGTTATAAATGATCATTTCCAAATTGAGTTTGCACTTCAAGATTTACATTTTTTCAGAAATATACACTTGGAATAACTTTGGTAGCTGCTTGATACATATTTCAAAAACGTTGGCTACTAGTGAAAACTTAAGATGTTGCTATTATTGCTTTGGGTTTTGGCAGCTTATGTCTCTGACCTAAGATCAGACAGTCTATAATAGCTGTTGTACACCATTGTGTGCAAATTGAGGTATTAGATACTGTGGGAGGTTTACAATCTAGTGGTAGGCAGTCCAAGTATATGTACATGTTGCTACTAAAAAAACTAACTCTGACAAATATTCTTAGTGAAAAATAAATTAACAAAATAAACTGTGCTCTGCTTATACTTTTTTCTCACAGTTATTTTTTAAGAACGAGCTCATGCCTTGATGAATATTCTTGGCTAATAAAAATATGTCAACATTTCCACAAGTAAATCTGAATTTCATGCCAGAAAGTATTTTAATGTACTCTCAGCTCTAAACAAAGCAGAGATCATTCTTCATAACTTTAGCTTTCAGAATATCATTTTGCTATTTCTGCACTAGCTAATTATTCTTTTTTGCTTTGAACTTTAGCTAGAGCTTTGTCTTGTCAAGTGCCATACATGCATAAATAAATAAAATAAAGAACCCAAATAAAATAAAGAAATAAGTAATCACCTTTACACAGAGAGCTTGAATATTAGGTGAGGTGGGAAGACTATGTTAGGTATCTTGGTAATTTAGTCTAGATTTCTGCAAGTGGTGTTGAGATAAAAATATGTGCTGCAGAAGTCAAGTTAAGGCACAACAACTTTAAAAGATTAAAAACAAATGCCTATGATAGACATATATTTTTCAATTTTAGTCAAGGGAGTCTTTTTAAAGTTATTATGACATTTTATTTTTTAACATGTTAAAATAGTTTATTAAATGTTTCTTATTTTTCCAATTTATGGTTTATGTTGTATACATGTAGATGTATATATATTTGTATTTACTTTTATTTTATGTTGTATATAATATATTAGTATGGACTGATATGTCCTCATAATTTACAAGTAAATAAATAAACTTAAGATTCACAAAATTCCTGATTGTAGCAGGAATTGGATAAAAATGTAATTGGGAAACATTTAACAAAATAAATATAAATGCAATACAATATATACATTAATTTGTCTTTTTCTGAGTTAATATGTGCCCTCAAGGAATCTGTTTTCATTTGAGTTTGACACCACTTTTCTAGACCAACCCTACACTACCAGTGGTCTTCAAACTTTTGATCATACATTGCTATCAGTAAAAACTTTCTGAGCAAGTTCTCTAATACACATATATATATGCATACATTATTATGATATTTTAAACCATTCCTAAATACTGAACAACTTTAGAGCCTTTCTCTTAAATATAAAAGAAAGCATGGAGTGATATAATGGAATGAACACTTGTCTTAAGAGTCAGAAGACCTGAGCTCAAATTCCACATAGGATTCTAAGGTAAGATTCATGACTAGTCATTTCACCTTTCAGCGCTCCAGTTTTTTCACCTAAAAAGTGACAACAATGATTTTTGTACTACCTTAGCAATAGGGTGGTTATGAAGAAAGCTCTTTAGGAACATTAAAGAATAGAGAATGGACCTGTTACTTCTTTCTTATAAAGAACTCCCAAATGAGTAAATTCACTTTACCAATGCAGGTTGGTACGTTCTTTGCACCTTAAAGACACATAAAGAATTGCCTAGAGGTTAAGTGATTTGGCATAAGGGCCACAGCCAAGATATGCCATATGGGTGACTACATAGAGCATACATGTAAGTGTCTGACTTGGCCAGGGTCTCAAAGCAAGTGTCTTCCTGACTTTGAGGCCAGTCTTCCATTCACTATCACAGGCTTCTACAAACCTTACGTGGTTATAGAAATGATAGTCTCTTTGTACTGGCAACTCGCAACTTACATGGTAGCTAATTACCAACTTCTTAGGTTTTCTATCCCCCCTTTTGTGGTTTCTTTTGTACCTAGACTTTCAGCTGTTGGGTTCTCTGTGAGCAGTTCTATCAGGAGGTATTTGGGGGATAGGAAAGAATCCCAAATTGATTATTTCAGTGATTCATTTTGTCTTTCTTCCAATATCACTCATAGTGGAAAGTTTAATGTTCTCATAAATACCATCATTCAAGTTACATGAGTGTTTTCATGGAGAAAGTCAGGCCAAAGATGCTGGTATTTCTGATTTGTTTAAAATTCAATGAATAATAGCATAGAAATTATTCAATAACAGTTCACCAGAAATATGATTTTTGGAACAACCTAGTGCAGAAGTTCTCAAACTTTTTGGTCTCAGGACCCCCTCATACCCTTAAACATTACTGAAGACCTCCTAAAGAATTTTTGTTCATATGGTTTATATATATTAATATTTACTATATTAGAAATGGAAACATCTTAGTATTATTATGAAATAGTTTTGACCTCACAGACCCCATGAAAGGGTCTCAGAGACCTTAATGGGCATCTGGACCCTCCTCTGAGAACCCCAGTCTAGCATATTATAGGCAACAAAGCAGATATCTTCATTAAGTATCTTTAGCATGCATTTGGGGGTGTTTCTTATCGACTATGCTCTTAAATATTAACTGAAATTTTACTGGCTCTGATGAGGTTTCTTTGCATTTGAGGTATCAAGTTTTTCTTTAGTTCTACAGTTTGGAAGACAAATTTAAAGTATTTTTTTCTTAAAGAATAGAGTTTTAACAATTGGAATAGAGGTTATCTCTACAATTAATGAAGCAGAATTTCTGAAAAAATTTTCCCTCTTAGAATTGCAACTTTTGAAAATGTTTGCTTCCTGTGCTTTATAAATTTCATATTTACATTACTAAGGATCTAAATAGGCAATAGAATCTTCAAAAATCTTAGGCCATGATAAAAATGGAATATTCACTTTTAGAATATTTATTTCCAAATGTATTGTAATTGTGCTAGCCTTTTAAACTTGTATCTATATTTCTTATTAGAAATAGTGGATTTTTGTTCATACCTCTAAAGATAGCAGAGCCTTAAGGAAGTCTAACAAGAATTTAGTGCTAGTTGTCTGAACTACACATCTGGTTTTGTTTTGTTTTTTTGTTTTTTGTCTTTTTTGGAGGGTTCTGTTTACACGCCACCTAGAGCCCATCATTGTTAGAATCTGCACTTACGGATCTTGAAGATAATTTATAAGATCATAAATTTAGAGTGGTAGGGAGTTAGAGGTCATCTAATCCAGTGGTATTAAAATAGAAACAGTCACCAAACTGTACATAGGGATCCCTGTGGGCTGCATATTCACTTAATTGTATTTTTACTTATTTTGTTAAATATTTGCCAATTATATTTTAAATTGGTTGGGGTCCAGTTGGGAGTGTTGCTGGCTGCATGGTTGACACTTCTATTTGTCCAACCTCCTAGTTTTACAGATGAGGAAGGTAATCCTATGTAGACAGTAAGTTTCTTGTCCCACATCCCACAGGGAGTGACAAAGCTGGATTCAAATCCCAGTCCTCTGACTTTAAATCTAGAGGTCTTTCCACTGTACTATGCAGGACTTGGAATGGTGTCTTCTTGTCTTTAGTTCAGCTCTCTCTATATTGCCTCTCATTTTAATTGACATTTTTTGTTTTCACATTGCTTTCATTTCTGAATATGTCCTTCCCCACTTCCTATCTGTATCCCCACTCTGCAAAGAAGGAAGAGAGGGGAATTTTCTTAATGCTTGGGAGGAAAGGAGAATAGTGTCCTTTCAACCAAGCTATTCTTAATTTTGGCATTAACCAAAATGAAATAAAGCATTAAGGGAAATAGAACCTGTCTCCTCTATATGCCAGGTTCAGAGATGACCTAGGTCAGGGGTAGGGAACCTATGGTCTTGGGAGGCCACATGTGGCCTTCTAGGCCCTTGGGTGTGGCCTTTTGACTGAGTCCAAGTTTTACGGAACTAATCATTTTATTAAGGGGATTTGTTCTGTGAAGTTTGGAGTCAGTCAAAGGGCCTAGTTGAGGATCTAGAGGGCCACATGGGTTGTTATAAGATCAAATGATGCTCATAACAATGCTTACCACAGTGCCTGGCACATAGTAAGTGCTACATAGACGTTAGCTATTATTATTGGCCATTATGAAAGTATTCATTAAGTAATTAGTCAACAAACTTTAAAATTTTTCTCTTCTGTTCTAAAGTATAGAAATATTGTTACTATCCTGGGACCCACAATCTACCCCAGAAATAACAAGAGAAGTGAGCAGGACCTGGCAAATCTCCAGATTTATTTCTCTTTAAAGAAAGGCCTATGTTTCCATACCAGATCTACAGCTGATGGTGTGACTCTGAATAAGTCACCTAACTTTTCAGAGCCTTGGTTTCCTTGTTCGTAAAATGTAAAATTAATACTTTCAGTACTAACCTCACAGGATTGTTGGAAGGAAAGCGTTATATACTTTTAAAATGTTACATAAATATAAGCTATTATTGAACTGAAGCCTCAAAGGATTTGAGCAGGTCCTAAATCTTCCCTGAATGCTTAACTTCTGCCCAGTCCTTCCCAATTAATCCTCTTCTGTTCACTTACTTCTTACACCCTCCCTCCTGGATGCCTCATCTCCCTACATCAGCATCCATAATATTAAATGGGAGTACCTGCGCATTGTGCCTTCTGTGTTGATCTACCTTATCTTTAACAACTTTCTCTTTCTTTGCATTCATTCTCTTTACATTTATTCTGCATATATTCCCATATGTCTCTGATGCCCCCTTTGTTAGAACATAAGCTCCTGGGGAACAACTAAGTGGCACAGTGGATAGAGCACTGGCCTTATAGTCAGGAGGACCTGAGTTCAAATGTGACCCCAGACATATAACACTTACTAGCTGTGTGACCCTGGGCAAGTCACTTAACCCCAATTGCCTCACCAAAAAAACAAACAAACAAACAAAAAAACCAACCAAAAAACAAAACAAAAACCAAACCAAACTATAAGCTTCTTGTGAGTAGAGTTTGCTTTACTTACTGTACTTGTATCATAAGTACCTGACACATAGTAGATGCAGAAAAAATGTTAATTGATGGTGCATTATAGGTTTGCATGTTGATTTTAATTTCTTTAATTGTTCTACCCCCATGAATCTGAATGTGTTCCTTAAACTGAGCCTATTATGCCCCCTTCCTTTTCTTCTTCTCGCTTCTTTGGCTATCTATACTTTCCTTCGTTGTACTGTTCTGGACAGCTAGATGGTGCAGTGGATAGAGTGGTGGGCCTGGAGTTAGGAAGGCTTTTCTTGAGTTCAGATCTGGCCTCAGACACTTACTAGCTGTTTTTGGACAAGTCACATGACCCTGTTTGCCTCAGTTTCCTCATCTGTAAAATGAGTTGGAGGAAATGACAAAACACTCCAGTATTTGGCAAGAAAACCCTAAAACGGGGTCATGAAGAGTCAGACATGACTGAAAAATGACTGAACAACAACAATAACAACAACATACAGTTTCTGGAACATAGCAGGCAGTTAATAAATACTTGTTGATTGATTGAATGTTTCATGGATTTTTGATTACATCAGTTTGGATACTTTCTCCTAACCTAAATCCAAGCTTTGCAGTTCCTCTAAACCTTAATAGATGGTTTTCATTAATTGTTCTTGTCAGAAAATTTACCACCCTTCAGCTGATCTGGTGTTGGGTATCTCCAAACTGAATGAGATGTGTTCTTGCAGGGCAAATTCAGCCTGTGACTCATACTATACTCAAAGAGTTTTCAGATTGTTAGAACCTGCCAGAGCTTACAATTCAGCTGGCATAACCGTTGAGAACCCATAGTTACCATCACAGAGGTGCTAGGTATCGCCATAGTGCATAGAGTACCAGTCCTGGAATCAGGAAGACTCATCTTCATGAGTTCAAATCTGGCCTCAGACACTTACTAGCTGTGTCATTTAACCCTGTTTGCCTCAGTTTCCTCATCTGTAAAATGAGCTGGAGAAGGAAATGGTAAACCACTTCAGTATCTTTGCCAAGAAAACCCCAAATGGGGGTGATGAAAAGTTGCATGTGATAAAAAATGACTGAACAACAACAGTTATCATACCATGACAAAGTGGTGACATGTGGTTGAATAAGTTAACAAAATTGTAATCATCAGCAATCGTCAGTCTAATCCCTGCATTTTATAGATAAGGACCCTGAGGACCAGAATGGTGAAATGATTTAAGATCATAGGTTTATATATGAAACAGACTTTAGATGCCATAGAGCCCAACCACCTCATTTTACAAAAGAGGAAACTGAGGCACCGGTTCACACTAATAAGAGTCTCAAAATGGATTTGAACCTAAGTTTTTCTGATTTCAGGCCTAATGCCACCTCCACTACACTATACCTCCTCTTGAAACCTAGCCCCAAAACAAAAGATCAGACCCAGAGAAATTAAGTAATTTATCCAGGGTCACAGTGATAATTAGAGTCTGAGGCAGGATTCCAACCCAGGTCTTCCCGACTTCAAGTCCAGCTCTCTGTCTACTGAATCATGCTGCACAAGGTTGTATAATCACCTTGGTTACACTTGACCAAAGCAGCGCATTCTCACAGCAAGAGCAGAACTTAGGATCGGCAGCGCCCTACATGAGAGCAGGCCAAGACTAAATAATAAATAAGGCATGTACACAGAAAGCTAGGTACAACAATAGACTTCGAGGCAAGTATTAATGCTATCTCACCACATTCTCAAAGAAAATACTTCCTCAATTAGAGTTGAAACTCCTTCCATTGAAACAACAATCTTTAAGTCATTCACTGACCAGTGACCGTGTCGTTCTGTGGTTTCTCCCAGTCCAGTATGACGAAGGACGAGCACCCTTCCACTGTAACCACAGTGAGGTTGGTGGGAGGATTCTGGGGGGGGCTGGTGGGGCTGTCGTCTGACACCTCCTCTTTTGGGAACCGCTTCACCGAATCAGTGATAGAACATGGCTCATCCTCAGGCTTCGGAATGTATTTCACGTGAGGAGCTGGGAGAAGGAAATCATTGCTGTTTAGTGCTTGAAGCTCAGAAGTCAGTTTGAAAGCAAGTGTCTCTTTTCAATGTGATTCTAGGTGGTAGGATACCTGGCCAGGTGTAATTACATCACAATCCATTTTCAATTGTCCATGCAGATGCAGGAGAGTGGGGAGGTTTATTACTCAGAGGATTATAGATTTTATGCTTAGACTTTGGTTTTACAAATGAGGAAACTGAAACCCAGAGATGTCAAGTGATTTGCCCATAGTCACATAGGTAAGAAGTAACATAGCTAGGATTTGAACTCAAATTCTCTGTGTCCAAATCAGAGCTGTACCCTCCACAGCTAGGTGACACAGTGGGCTTGGAATTAGGAAGAACTGAGTTCAAATTTGACCTCAGTCACTAACTGGCTATGTGATTCTGGGCAAGTCACTTAACTTCTGCTTGCCTCAGTTCCCTCAACTGTAAAATGGGGACAATAATAGTACCTACCTCCCAGGATTATTGTGAGGAACAAATGAGATAATATTTGTAAATTAATTAGCATAGTGCCAGGCACATAATAGATGATTAATAAATGCTTATTCCCTTCCCTTTGTCTTTTATGCCAGCTCAAATCACTGGATATCTTAAAATTAAGTCTTAAGTTTATAGATATTTATAGATATCTTGCTATAAATGATTCAGAAACTTGATGATCCATGAGTTGAAAGTTGCAAATTTATTGCCCTCTATTAGTATGTGCAGTACTTTATCTGTATCCCATGTTTTATTACAGAACTCCTTTTTTAAAAGTCATTTCTCTGCTCCTGTGCTTAGGGGCAACAGAAGACTGGAAATCTCTGTGCCAATCTATTTTAACCCAGGAATTTGTTTTTTCATCTTTGTTATTCACTTATTCACCTATTTACTCATTCATTCATTCCACACTTTGTTATATGCCTTCTATGTGCAGAGCACTATGCCAGGCAATGTTGGGGATATGGAGGTGTAGAAGATATGATTCTCCACCTGAGAGGACTATGCACTCTAGTAGATCCTTCAACACATTAATTTCTGCCAAGAGAGATGATTTGGTGGGGCACAGACTATTTGAAGAAATTTTAGAATTATAGTCAGGAAATGATAGGGGAGGTGGGAAGAAACCACTTATGTGCAAAGTCCTTTCACAGTTTTGACTAAAATGATCATTGGATTGCATACCATTTTGACGAAAGAAGAAAGAGTAAAAATGATAAAGTCAAGTCCAGTATGACTGAGAATAACAGGATTTCCAACCAACAAGACCTACCCATAAACCGCTGATTCCCCAGGGAATCTGTCTCTCTTGTAGGGCTTGAGCTAAAGTCAGTCAAGTTACCTGAAAGAGATAGAGTTAGTATAAGTATTTCTGGCAAATGGAAGAAATAAAGCTTCAATCCCAGTCCATTACTATGGCGTTTATAGCCACAAAAGTCTGTGCGGAACTCTATCTGCAGTCTATATACATTCATTACATTAGCAAGAGCTTTTGTCATTTCTCTGTTCCTGCCCTCGGGGCAGTGGAAGATAAGATACCACCGCACCAATCCAGTTTGACCCTGGTACTTGGGATTCTGTTTTCTCATTCCCTTTATTCATTTTACCTCATCATCTTTGGTTTCTCTCAATATCCTAACGTGTATTTGTCTGCAGTGAAACATAAATGTATTTTCATCTTATTCCCCTTCCTTTCCAAAAAGAAAAACAACAAAAATGAATCCTGAACAAAAAGAAAGAAAAAGAGAAGCTCTGGTACTAAGATCCACAGTTGATTAGTTTATAGGCTTCTTTCTTTCCTACCATGGAGTCATTTCTTTGTACTTTGCATCCAAGCACCCAGTGGGCCACCAGCTTCCAAACTTACCATATTCTCCGGTAACAGAGACTGTTGGCTGCTTTTTGTCTGTCTCGATTTTCTTTGGCATGGTGGGGCCTGTAGGTTTAACTGTCACCTTTGGAGGAGGGGAGGTTACTCGTGGTAACAAGATGGTTCCTATGGCAAAACATCTAGTTTTATTTTAGGACAACAGAATTTCCCATTTGGAGGTAATGTCTGAAGTGGAACTAGGGTAGTGTCTCCCACTTCTGAATCTCAGAATTATCCTTTTAGGTTACTGTCTGGAAGGTGAGTAAGTAATCTAAAATAATCTTTATCTACTAACTGTTAAAAAACCTGAATAAGTTTCCCTCTGCCCTGTGTACACAAAGATCCAAGGAAAATCATCAGGGTTACAATGCTGGAATTAATTGCCCTCATTATGATGCTTACTCAAGTCTGGCCAGATGGCAAATGGCTATGAGTGATTGCTTATGCCATCCAACCTGCCTCACAGTCAACGTGTGAGGCATTCTGGTGCTAGAGGAGTTTTTTGAAGTGTAATTTATTTCTGATGCCTCTTACATCTCAATCTAAGACACTAAGGACAAGTTTGCTCTGAGTGGATATACAAATATTTAAAATAAAAATGGAGGTGTGGGGTGGGGTCAAGGTATGAGTCTGACATACCTGTACTTCCTGGCTTGCCGGTCACATTGTTTGGTGGTAGAGGTTTTCTTTGGGGCTGTGTTGATTTAGGAGGTGGCAAGGTGGGGCGATGAATATCAGCTTCTGTACCTAAAAGATCATATTACACACATTGCTGTTCTGAAATCTGGCCACATTTTTATCCATCTGCACTAAACAAAATACACAAAAAAGACCCTGCAAGAATTTAAACAATTGAGAGGATGCCCATCAATTAGGGAATGGCTGAACAAGTTATGACTGTGATGGAATACTACTGTGTTATAAGAAATGATAAGCACAATGCTCTAGAAAAACCTGGAAAGACTTACATGAACTGATGCATGGTGAAGTGAGCAGAACCAGGAGAACATTGTACATTGGACACAATAACAGCAATATTGTATGATGAACTTAGGTATGATGTATGATGACTTAGCTATTCTCAGTCATACAATGATCCAGGAGAATTTGGAAAGAATGAAAAATGCCACTCATCTTCAGAGAAAGAACTGATGGAGTGAATGCAGATAAAAGCATACATTTTTTAACTTTATTTTTCTCGAGTTTTTTTTTAATTGGCCTGTGTTTTCTTTTACAACATGACTAATATGGAAATGTGTTTTGTATGACTGTACATGTTTAACTTATATCAAATTGCTTGCCTTCTCAATGAGGGGGAAGGAAGAAGGAAGGGAGAGAATTTGGAACTCAAAAAATTTTAAAACAAATGTTCAAATTTGTTTTTACATGTAATTGGGGGAAAATAAAAAATAAAAAGGAAGGGAAAAAATAATTGTAATAAAAATGAAATTATATTTGACCAGTTAGGTATCTATCCTATATATCTTCTCTAGCATCTTACAGAATGTGACTTTTCAGTACTAAATTCAAAAAAGAAAAGAATACTAGTAAATGATTAATAAAGAATTGAATATAAACTAATTATTAAAGTGGTACAACCTAAGCAACTACTATAGACCTAATTGATCAATGGATTACTTTCATTCCTAAAAGAAAATGTTTTGTTAATAAATTTACATTGTTTATATATTCCACTAGTATTGGTTTGGTGGCCTGAGGTGATGGAATGGATTGCAGTGGGAGGTAGGTAAGTGTCAAATTCTGGACTTTATGGATATTAATTGGCATAATTATGCCATCCATTGTATAGTGGGTAGAAAGTCATCCTTGGAGCCAGGAAGACCTGGAGTGGAATTCAACCCCTGACATCTGCTTTCTGACCATGGACAAATGTCACTTAATTTCTTGGTGCTCTAATGCAACTCTAAGCCTATAAGTGGTAGAGAAGTTGCCATTAGAAAGACCTTCTGGGAATTCTCTTTACCAATGAAATCACAGGTACAGTTCTTATCCCCATAGTTGTATAGTGCTCTTACTTATTGATCTTCACAGTAACTTTGTGCTAGCCAGAATAGATGCTTTTTTTTTTAAGCCGCCCCCCCCCCCCTTTACAGAGAAGGAAATCTAAAGCTCTAAGAGGTGCCATAATTTCCCTAGGGACACAAGATGCTATCCCATTACAGTACATAAGATAAATGGAGATTCTTTATTGTGCTGCCGTGAAGTATCATTGTACCATTCTCTTCCCTGATCTGGTCTTACCTGGTTTTTTTGTAGCATCAAGTGAAACATTTTTGGGGACACTGAGAGGCTTTTCAACATTTCCAGAAATGGGCTTGGTGTAACCTATCAAATAAAGGTAATAATGTATATTAATGTACTGATTCTGAAATTTAAAAGCATCACTGCCAACAACATGCATTTCTTGTATAAATGGGGTTGTTGTACTTCCCTTGTTAAGATCATTCAGTTTATTTCTGCCTTTGAGTACATTGCATTGAAATTTGAGAAAAATCATTACGTTTTATCCATTGGTAGACCTTAGTCATTGGAATGACATGGTTTTTCCTTACTGCCAATAGTACTTAATTTATGAACTTTTTTTGGATTTGGGTAAAAATAAGCTGTTCTCATGAAATCTATTTTCTAGTTTGGATATCTTTACTGAATTCAAGCTTTTATGGGAGTGTTTGATTTTTATAGATGTTACTTTTGAAAATGAAATGTCAGGTAGTTGAAAGAACATCAAGCTTGGAGTGAGAACAGTTCTCAAATCTCAACTCAGGTAATTACTAGCTTTACTAGCTCTGGGACCTTAGGTAATTTTCAATTTCCTCAACTATAAAATGGAAATAACAACAATTGCACTATTATTATACAATACCTTGTGAGGAAAGCACTTTGCAAACTTTAAAGTTGATGCTATATCACTGAATTTGTAGTTTTAATTGAATGTTAATGTCTAGAGTACCGATTTCACAGTGTTGTTTAGTTTAGTTGTTTTTTCTGTTTTGTCCAACTCTTTATGATCTCCATTTGGGGTTTTCTTGGCAAAGATAGTGGAATGGTTTGCCAGTTCCTTCTCCAGCTCATTTTACAAATGAGGAAACTGAGGCAAAGAGGGTTAAGTGACTTGCCCAGGGCCACACAGCCAGTAAGTGTCTGAGTCCTGATTTGAACTCATGAAGATGAGTCTTCCTGACTCTAGGCCCAGCATTCTCTCCACTGTGCCACCTGGCTGCCCACTGTACTATGCTGAAGACCAAATGAGATAATTTGTGCAGAGTACTTTGTAAACCTTAAAGCACTATATAAACATATTTTTTTTAGCTGCTGTGATGATGTTGGACTGTTGATTTTGTGTGATTTGTGATCTATGACCTATGATTATTTTGCTCAAGTGTTCCATGATGCTAGAGATCATGTAACCTATTAATCTGATTTCCCTGCCCCCCCCCTTTATGTGTTTATACTGGCCCGTTTTCTTATTTAGTATTGCCTTATTAAACTGTATTCTCAAGATTTCATCTGCAGAATTGTGTCATGTTCAGCCAATATGCTTGGGTGCATTTTGTGGTTTTTTTCAAAAAAAGCTACCACACAGCCTTAAAATTCCAGTATGATTTAGTTGGCACTGACTAATGCAACTTGAAAACATTCCAAAAGAGACCTTACCTAGTCATGACACTCAGCCAGCAAACAGAGCTTTTAGCATCAGGGGTTTTAAACCAAGCCTGGCAAAGCTCAGAATAGTGAATTATTACTTTGAAAGGAATGGATCTATAAATTACTCAGTGCCAGGCCTTCTAAATGACCACATCAGATCTGTGGTGAGTATTGCTCAACCTCTTTCCTAAATACACAAACTCAGATTTGGGGTGGGTGCGCTATAAGAAGGGTGAGCCAACTTTTGCTTCACTTTTTGATACATCACAAATCTATTTCCTGTCCTGACACGAATGACCATTAGTATGGAAATAGACGTGTTCAAAGTCTGGGTATAGTATCTTTCAAAGATACCTAGGGGAATCTCTATTGTATTTGCTTGTCAAAAAAAAAATAATTCCAGTTCCAAATTAAGAGACCACTAACACTGACTCCCTAATAAATATGAAAGTAATCAATGAGTAACAAAAATGAACGGTTTCCATGTTCGGTGGTATCCTGTGGCAGGGAGATATAGCAGAAGACCTATGAAACTAGGATTTAGAGCCTGAAAGCACTATAAACACAGGAATTGTTGTTGTTGTTTAGAAGACATGAATTCGAGTCTTGGTTTTGTAACTACTTATAAACTTGTGTCCTTGAGTCAATCACAATATTTTTAAGCTTTGATTTCCTCATCTCTGCAATGTGAATATCTGTCCTCGTGTTTATCGTGAGAGTCAAAGGAATCCAGAATGTGAAATCAGAGCACAATGCAAATATACAATTGTTGCAGAAGTCCTACTCTGATGTCACACTGTGGTTTGAAGATAACCCTGGATTCCTAAAGAATAGGCCAGTGAAATACCAGGTCTGTCAGGTTCTGCCATGATGGAAAGGCTCTAAGTACTTGCGTGTTAATAGATTGGCACTGTCAGCCTTGATAAGCCTCAATAAGATCAGTGAGGTTCATTGTTAGAGATCTGGTCATCAAATTATTCTTTTTTTTTTTTAAGTCATAGCAGTTCATAAGGACTAAGATTCGAAAAAGCTGCATTCAGTATCAGGGGAAGAAGAACTCACATGCAGGTAAACATGGGACTGTAGAATGATAGATTTAGAATTGGAAGTAACCTTTGAGGCCAACAAATCCAACTCCCTCATTTTACAGATGAGAAAACTGAGGTATGGAGAGGGTAAATGACTTGTTGAGAGTCACACAGTTAGCAAATGACTGAGGTAGGATTCAAACTCAGGGCTTCCTGACTCCAACTTTAGTACTCTATTAATTATGCTGCCTAATCATGGGTCCTCAAATACTGAAATATGTGTGAATTAAATATTAAAAACAGGAACTCTACTTGCCACCAAAGACATTAAATTTTCATTTATTTAGTAAGCAAGAATAAATAAATAAATAAAATAGCAGCAGGGAATGGATTCATTGCTGAAATAGTCTAGTCAATAAGCATTTGTTAATTGCTTATTATGTGCCAGGTAGGCAGTTAGGTGGTACAGTAGATAGAGCACTTGGCTTGGAATCAGGAAGACTCATCTTCCTGAGTTCAAATCTGGCCTCAGACACTTACTAGCTTTGTGACCCTGGGCAAGTCATTTAACCCTGTTTGCCTCAGTTTCCTTATCTGTAAAATGAGCTAGAGAAGGAAAAGGCAAACCACTCCAGTGTCTTTGCCAAGAAAACCCCAAATAGGATCACAAAGAGTCAGACATGACTGAAAAATGACTGAACTGAATATGTGCCAGGCACTGTGCTAAGCACTGGGGATACAAAGAAAGGCAAACTACTGTCCCCGATCTCAAGGAGCTTACAATATAGGGGGGGAGTCAACATGTAAGCAACTATGGTATAAACATGGTATAGACAGGATAAATTGGAGGCTATCTCAGAAGGAAGGCGCTAGCATTAAGGGGGACTGGGATAGACTTCTTGTAGAAATTGAGGTTTTAGCTGAGACGTGAAGAAAACCAAGGAAGTCAAGAGGTGGAGATGAGGAGAGAGAGAATCTGGGCATTCAGGACACAGTCAGGAGATGGAGTGTCTGTTATGAGGAATAGTGAGGAGACCAGAGTCACTGGGTCATACAGTACATGGGAGGGAATAAGGTATGAGAAGATTGGAAAGGTGGGAAGGAGCCAGATTATGAAAAGTTTTAAAGCCAAACAGAGGATTTTATATTTGATCCTCAAGGCAATAGGAAACTTCTGGAGCTTATTGAATAAGGAAGTGACATGGTTAGACCAATAACTTTGGTAGTTGAATAGAGGAAGGACTGGAGTGGAGAGAGATCTGTAATAGAGACAAACCCGCAGCCTATTGCAATAGTCCAGGTATGTCATGATGAAAACATTAGGTGATAATGTGCCAGGATGCTGGCAGTGAAAGGAAGGAGGGAGGCATATATGAGAGATGTTGCAAGGTAGACCTGATAGTAATTGGCAAAGCTTTAATATGAGGGTGGGGCTAGAGAGTGTGTGGCATCGAGGATGATACCTAGGTTGCCAGCCTGGGTGACTGGGAGGATTGTGGTACCCTCCACAGTCAAAAACAAGCTAGAAAAAAGGGATTTTTTTTTTTTGGTGAGGCAATTGGGATTAAGTGACTTGCTCAGAGTCACACAGTTAGTAAGTGTTATGTGTTTGAGGTTGGATTTGAATTCAAGTCCTCCTGACTCCAGGGTCGGCGCTCTATCCACTACACCACTTAGCTGCTCCTAGAAAGGATGATTTTGGTGGAAAGATAATGAGTTAAGTTTCAGATATGCTGAGTTTAAAATGTCTATGGGACCTCCAGTTCAAGATATCAAACAGGCAGTTGGAGATGTGAGACAAAAGGTCAGGAGAGTGTTTAAAGCTGCATAATAGATCAAAGAATCATTTACATAGAGGTGATAATTGGGATCTGTGGAGATCACCAAATGAAATAATATAGAGGAAAAAGAGAAGAGGGCTCAGGACCCAGCCTTAGGGGATGCCCATAAGTAGTGGGTGCCATCTGGATGAAGAGCCAGCAAAAATAACTGAGAAGTGGTTAGGGAGGTAGCAGGGCAACCGAGGAAAATAGGGTCTGAAAAACCTGGAGAAAAGAAAATACCAAGGAGAAGAGGGTGATTTCTCCCTAGGACTGGAGGACGAGAAGATGCTGCAGCAGCACCTCCTACTGCCCCATGGTCACCTCCACTGCTACAAACTCTGAACTTGTAGGGGAGAAAATGGTGAATCAAAAAGGAGAGAACCAAAAAGCTATTCCTTCACTATACAAGAGAGGCGAGATACAGAAAGTGAAGAAGGGAGGGTTAACTTTTGCCTTGGAGAATTAATGAAGGCTTCATTGGGAAGTCCTACCTGAGAGGAGTTTGAAGGAAAGAAAAGATGATGAAAGGAAGTGATGGGGGCAAGGTTATGTTTTGCGTATAGGGATTAGCATGTGCAACAGCAGGAAAGACATGGCGCTGAAAAGGGAAAAGAAGGATTGGAAAAGAGTGAATAGTAGATGCACTGAGCCTTTGAAGGGGAGAACCATAAGATGCTGATTGGAACCAGGTTAAAGAAAGCTTAGAACACTAGCCAAGAGTTTATTTATTTTTTCCTATAGGCAATAGGGAAACACTAAGAATTTTTTTCCTATAAGAGCACCAGGGGTATTACAGTGATTTGTAATATACCAGTGCCAGATGTAGATATTAGAAAGATTGCTTTTGGCAGAAGTATAAAGGATGAATTTCACAGAAAAAACTAGAGATAGGAGTTAGGGAAACTAATGCAAAGCTCATTACAAGAGTCCAGATCAGAAATGAAGAACCATAAAATGCTATAATTACAAAGTACTTTAGAGAACATTGAACCCAATCCTTTCGTTTTACAGTTGGGGAAACTGAAGCCTAGAGAAGTAAAATGATTCCTCCAAAGTCAGACAGGCAGAACCAAGACTAAAAATCCAGGTCTTGCTTTTTAACTACTTGATTCCTATTTAAATGATCTAAATTTAAATACTATAAGGAATAAGGGAGATAAAATTCAGATAAGTCAGGGAACAGGGGAAAAAATATACTTGGAAAAAATTTCAAAATAACTTTATATAGCAACAGACAGTGGCAGTATTCTCATGACAAGACACTAGAAAATATAAAATACAGGTGTCACAGCACAGGCACCTGGAATCAAGGGCAGATAAGATCCCTGTAGTTGGCTTATGGAGAAGTAGCTTTTTGCAGATCTCTATATCCTAGAATGGAGTTTAGAGAATAACCCTGAAGGAGCGGTAATTAATATAGGATAGACTCATTGAAGTTATGAATCAGAAGCCAATCCAAAGATGTGTTACTTTTACATCAGTTTTCTTAAGCAAAATAAAATATTCACTTTGCCTGAGGAGGCCTTAAAAAAAATTCCTTCCACCTAGAAGGCAGAAACTGATTATCATTTCTTTGTACCTTGTAACTTCAGTACCTAATGGGGTGGATTGCCCCATATAGCAAGGATCTACATTTTTATCAGGGTAGGTACTTTTTCTACAGACACAGATCATAACCCTTTTAGAATTGTTGGAGCAGAAAAGTACCTAAAGTGTGCTGGTAAATGTTTAACAACCAGCTCTCTGGAGGAGGGGGAAGAGAGACATATGCTGGGCATACATTTAATTTTAATCTGCATTATTAACATTTTCCCTACTGCTTTCTTAAGTCTAGACAATCAACCAAATAATAAATCAAGCCCTGATTTGTAGCATTTGCTGATTTCAGAGATGTAAATGCTCACCTTGGCTGTCTCAGGAGCTGATTGGAGCTAGCTGTAGCACATCCCTGCTCTGAACCCAAATTGGTGCTAAACATCTCTCCAACGGTAGCTAGGTTACCATGGACAAGAACTATATAGTCCATCACTGGGCCTTGCACTTAGTAGGCATACAATAAGGGTTGAACTGAATTGAATATAATAAAACTGACTCTAAGGAAAAATGTAATAACACATTGTTTTCTGGACTTTGTGGACTTTTCTTTTGCTTTTCTAATAGGGTTAGAAGTAGAAGGGAAATAATTTTCTGCCAACAATCTTGAGTTCTCACCTACCTACCTTTTGGGAATGTAGTTGGGAGTGTGGAGGCTAAGGCAATTCTAGAACCATTGTTCCTTGAAGAAGTGGGGAAGTGAAAGCAGTTTGCAAAAAAAAAAAAGCACTAGCTTTGTGTTTCACCCAATAATATCCTCAAGTTAATCAAATACATTGATAACTGAAACAATTGCCCATCACACCCTTTTTTTCTCTGAAATGCTAATCAGTATTGAATGGAACCAAGGTAAGGGGAAGCACTTTATTTATTTTAAAAACATTCCATTAACACAGGGTCAAAGGATATACAGCTGGGAAGGACACTGGAGATTATTTAGTCCAACTTTGTCATTTTACAGATGAGGAGAGAGTTCCAGAGAAATGAAATCATGTTCCAAGGGTCACACATTATGTGACTGGTAGATCTGGGGTCAGAACCCAGTTCTTTATAGCAACTAACAAAGGAAGTGCTTGAAAAGATCCCTTAGAGCAGTAAGACCTTGAGGTCTATATTTGCTTGAGAAGTTTTTATGTGGAGTAAGATCCTGAACACTTTAAAGAAACCAGTAGGATTTTTATCAATAGAAATGGCATCAATGAAGAAGTATTAACCATCTGCTTTGCCATTGCACTTTAAGGACTATGGGACTTTTTCATCTGACTTGCACCTGGAACCTTCCCTATGTGTGGTCTCCCCCATTCAAAAGTGAGCTCCTTGAGAGAAAGGTGCATCTTATTTTTCTATTAGTATCCCTAGCACTTAGCACACTGCTTTGTGCATACTGCTGTTTGTCCTTTGTTCTCCAAGAGGACCATGACATCAGGGGATGCCATGACTTGCAAGTGAATTTGATTTGAGTGAGGGAGAGCTGTGCAAAGTCACCAGCCTCAATTTCTCCTCTGGAGCTGTCTGGGTCCAGGGGCCAGATACACATCAGGACAACTGGAGATGGTCCCTGCTCTGCGCAAAGTAAGTACTTAAAAATGCTTTATTTATCCATTCACTGGGAAAAGCCTGAGAATGCATACATCAGGTAATGAAATACTCTAGCCATCCTGATGATTCTGATATCTGGGAGTCTAATCATCATTAACAGAACAATTCCAGTGCTATTGGCAGTAGCATTGGTATGATCTGATTGTCTGTATTATCTAATGGGGATCATTTTGCTTTATGGGACCTAGAAGGGTCACAATATTTTACCAAATTGGACAAAATGCCATTCATATTAAATAGAAATGATCAATGACCTACCAATAGCTCTGATTAATATATAATATGTATATGTATTTAACATAAATAACATATACATACATATAAACACACATACACATGTTTTATGTGTGTATGTATATGTGTATAAATGTATATGTATTGACACATATACATATGCATACACATACCTCTACTTACATATATACACATAACATATATATATGTATTAAATGGTGCCTTCCAGAGAGTTAATATTCCTCTCTAGGCTGCACACTGAACTTCATCTACCATGACCAATTTTTTTGTCCTGAAGCCTCACTCTAGTCTTGGAATTCTCATGTTGGAAGTGTCTTCCTGCTTCCTCTCCCTCTGATTAGATGGCTTTTCCAGGATCTTTATTTAAGGAGGAAACACAGGACAGCCATGTCTGAATCCTCTCTAGGCTATGCTCTGGCCTTCACCTACCAGGTACCTGTGGGGTCAGATACCTTCGTACCCCCACCCACTTTTCAGATTCCTTTTTTGTTTTTTTCTTTCCCCATAAGAAAGTAAGCTTTTTGACTGTAGGAACTATCTTTCTTCTTTCATTGTATTTCCAGAATTTACTAAAGTGTCTGGCACATAGCAAGTACTTAATAAATGCTTGTTGACTGACTGAATACATGCAAACTTTCAGAAAGATTTTTAAAGTCACTTTTGGAATTACAGACTGGAAAAAAAAGTTTTTGTGTTCTCATTGTCAAGACCAATATGATACTCAATACTTCAAAACAAAGCCATTTGTTGTATTTCCCATGTTAAGATCATTATCTAAAATGTTTCGACATTAAGGGAAATGCTTTTATTTGGTCTAGTAATTTATTCATTTGGGAATGAACATGATCTCTATCATATTGGATTTAATTTAAAAAAGTTTCGAGTCCTATTTCATTTCTGAAGTTTCTGTCTCTGATTAGTTTCAGTTTTTAATTTCAGTCAACCAACAGCAGATTCTGAGATTCCATCTTGCATAAAGCATGCATGTGTGTGTGCGTGTGCGTGTGTATGTGTGTATCACTTCAAAGAAACTGATGTGGGAATTCAGCAGAATTGTTCAGAGTGCATAATGACTCTTCTAGTCATGAAGTATTAAAAGAAAGCATAGTTTGGATCATTACCTGTTTCTTGTGAAATTCCATTGGGTTTGGGCCTATCAGTTCCTGAAATTGTCCTATTTTTGGCTGTAAAGAAAGTAGGAATTAAAAGTTAAAATACTTTCCTAGAACAATTTAACAGAAAAAGAAAACAAAGAGAGATTGGAAATTTATTCTTTTTGGGAGGGGGTTATTATGAATGGTGGGTAGAGGAAAAACATAGGCTAGAAGACGGGGATGACAAATAAATTTTTAAAACCATTGACCTAGTTGAAATGAGCTCATGATTCAGATATAAAGCCTGATGTATAAGCAAATAGGGGGAGAAAGGAATAGTTTACCTGTCAGATTTATGAAGAACAGAAGAATTTGTGACCAAACAGGAGATAGAGGACATTATGAAATGCAAAATGGATAATTTTGATTACATTAAATTGAAAAGTTTTTGCACAAACAAAGTCAATGCAACTGAGATTAGGAGGGAAGCAGAAAACTGGGAAAGAATTTTTACAACCAGTGTCTCTGATAAGGGCCTCATTTCTAAAATATATGGAGAACTAAGTCAAATTTATAAGAATACAAGTCATTCCTCAATTGATAAATGGTCAAAGGATATGAACAGGCAGCTCTCAGATGAAGAAATTAAAGCCATCTATAGTCATATGAAAAAATGCTCTAGATCACTATTGATTAGAGAAATGCAAATCAAAACAATTCTGAGGTACCACATCACACCTATCAGATTGGCCAATACGACAAAACAAGTAAATGATAAATGTTGGAGAAGATGTGGGAAAATTGGAACACTGATGCATTGTTGGTGGAGTTGCGAAATGATCCAACTACTTTGGAGAGCAATTGGGAACTATGCCCAAAGGGCTATAAAAATGTGCATACCCTTTGACCCAGCAATAGCACTTTTAGGGCTATATCCCAAAGAGATCATAAAAATGGGAAAAAGACCCACATGTATCAAAATATTTATAGCAACTCTTTTTGTGGTAGCCAAGAATTGGAAATTGAGGGGATGCCCATCAACTGGGCAATGGTTGAACAAATTGTGGTATATGAATGTAATGGAATACTATTGTGCTATAAGAAATGATGAGCAGGCAGACTTCAGAAAAACCTAGAAAGAGTTGTATGGACTGATGCTAAGTGAAGTGAGCAAAACCAGGAGAACACTGTACACAGTAAAAGCCACGTTGTGCAATGACTCACGCTGATAGACTTAGCCCTTCTCAGCAATACAAGGATCTAAGACATCTTCCAAAGTCTTATGATAAAAAATGCTATCCACATCCAAAGAAAGAACTATGGAGTTTGAATGCAGATTGAAGCATACAATTTGCCATTTTTTGTTTTATTTGTTTGTTTTGTTTCCTCTTTCTTGTGGTTCCTTGTATTGGTTCTAATTCTTCTTACAATATGACTAATGTGAAAATATGTTTAATAGGAATCTATGTGTAAAGCCTATATCAGATTGCACACTGTACTGGGGAGGGAGTGGGGGCAAGGAGGGGGAGAAAAATTTAAAACTCGAAAGCTTATGTAAGTGATTGTTGATAAATCAAAATAAATTAATAAAAAAATTTTAAAAAAAGAAAAAATATTGACCTAATTCCAACCCCTTGTTTTGTTTTTTTTTTTAGCCCTATTACACTTTAAGCCATATTGTTCACTGGACCTGTTATTTTATTGGTATAGGGGACTCCTGGGTTAAAACAAACAAACAAATCCTCCCTCTTCCAATTCAGGTTGGTACTTTCTCTGTAGCTTGTCATATTAGAGACTTGCCTAGAGCACTGAGAGGTGGTTTGCTTAGGGTTACAGATCTGGTGGGGCAGCTAAGTGATATAGTGGATAGAGCACTGGACCCAGAGTCAAGAAGATTCAAGTCAAAATCTGATCTCAGTTACTTGCTAGCTGTGTGACTCTGGACAAGTCACTTAACCTCTATTTGCCTCAGTTCCTCAGGTGGAAAATGGAAACACATGGCAAACCACTCCAGTATTTTTGCCAAGAAGACCTCAATGGGGTCACAACAACAACAGACCTACTATGTGTCAGGGGCAGGATTTGAACCCCAGTCTTTCTAGATTTGAAACCAGTTCTCTGCTACAGCTAGCTTCTCCTATCCCTCTTCCTGACCACCTCGTGAAGCTATTTCTTCTCATAGCCTCTCTTTTTTTCTCCCTTGATTCACCTCACCTCTCAACCACTCATATTCAGCACCTAACTACCTTTCACTTAGAATACTGCAAAAGCCTTTAAATTGTTCTCCATGTCTCTGTATTCTCCACTTTTTTGATCTACCCTACACATGGCTGCGAAGTAATATTTGTATAGTTCTGATTATGTCACTCTCCCTGCTCCAAAAGCTCTAGTAACTCCCTATTACCTTTAGGATCAAACAAAACTCCTTTGTCAAGCATTTAAAGCCCTTTTCATTTTGGCTCCTACTTCTCCAGCATTATTATATGCTTTCTAGGAGTTTGACAGAGCATCTAGGTATGACTAGCAGTGGATAGAGTGTGGAACCTGGAGTTCAAATCTGGCTTTAGACACTTACTAGCCCTGTGACCCCAGGCAAGCCACTTAACTGTATTTGCCTCACTTTCCTCATCTGTAAAATAAATTGGAGAAGGAAATAGCAAACCATTCCAGTATCTCTGCCAAGAAAACTCCAAATTGGGTCATGAAGAGTCAGATGTGTCAAAAAATAAATTTGATAATTAAGGTAAAGGGGCCCATTTACCATTCCTCACGTACAGCATCCCTTCTCCTTTCAGCATTTTTGTCCAGGTTATATTCCTCATGCCTGGGGTATACTTCTTCCTCTTTTTCCTTTTCCTCAACTCTACCTCTCAGAATCACTAGCTTCTCTCAAAGCTCAGCTGAAATGCCAGTTCCCTTCAAATGTCTGATCGATTTTAATGAAGGTGTCCTAATGAAGTCAATTTTATAGCCTTTAGAGAATTTCACTGGCCTGACTGTTAACATTTTTTGGGGGGGGGAAGTATTATCAACCTTTTATTTTTCATATTTGAACCCATTACAGTATCCCACATGGCACAGGAAGCAAGGGAATGATCACAGCTATAGATGTGAACACATAGACACTTTTTTCTGGGGGGAGGGATCGGCAATGGGGTTAAGTGACTTGCCCAGGGTCACACAGCTAGTAAGTGTTGAGTGTCTGAGGTTGGATTTGAAGTCAGGTCCTCCTGACTCCAGGGCCAGTGTTCTATGCATTGTGCCACCTAGCTGCCCCTACTTTTTTTTAAATAAAGGAAACATTTGAATAGACTTTTGCTTTGCAAAGGAAAACAAAACAAACTGTTGTCCTTGCTCCACTCATAACTCACAAGCACATAGCTAATCGTTAGAGTTCATAAATGGAAACATCAATTTTCTTAATATACTTCCACACATGCCCTGGGGACTGGCCCTGTGCAAATCAGTGGTGTAGGTTGCTATGTGTCCTGCATAGTTTTGCAGGACACAGTATTCTGTGGTGGGGACCTCAAGTTACTTTGCCAAACCCTTCCAAGGGTCATTTCCACAATAAAATCTTTAAGACCCTTCTAACCTGTAAAACTCTCCTCCTCTCAGTGTTCTCATTCTTTTTTTTAGACCATTAAGTAGGCACATTTGTATTTCTTAACTCTTTAATGATACTAGATAATGCCTCAAGGGTAGGGACCTTATTATATACATAATATATTCATAGGTAGTCTCTGGCAGTGGAAAGAATAATTAAGGGACTTGAAGTCAGAAAGATCTGGTTTTGAAACCTATCTCAACCTCTATCTGTGTAATGCTGGGCAAATCACTTAAACTCTCTCAGCCTCATTTTCCTCACCTGTAAAATGGGGATGATAAGGGTAGAACCTATCTCACAGGTTTGCTGTAAAGGTTAAATGAGATAATATATGGAAATAATTTTGCAAACCTTAAAGATATATACACACATATGTTAGCTATTATTAATATAAACTGGTCAGTGTTCCCCATATATCTATGCATGTACATACTTGCATATATACATATATACATATTAGATTTGATCTGATTTATAACATTAGACCAATGATAAAATTATTTTATTTGATCATTTCCTTATATAATTTTTATTTTAAAAAGTTAACATTTATATAGTGCTTTACACTTTGCAAAGTCCCTCATATATGTTAACTCATTTGGTCCTTCCAATAGTACTGAAATGGATTTAGTAATCCAACTTTGCAGATTAGGAAACTGGGTCACAAAGAGGTTAAGTGATTTGCACAGGATCATACAGTTAGTAAGTATCTGAGCAGGATTTGAACTTGGATTGTCCTACTTCCAAATCTTCGACTTTATCTACTGAGCCAGCTAACTACATATATAATGTCTGAAAAATTATGAGATTTTCACCGTGTAAAGTGTGTTAAAATGGAAAATACGAACTCTACCAGTCAGATATTTAGAGCATGTCCTTCATTAGATCTTTTAAAGAAATGTGGTTAAATGAAACCAAAATAGCATTTATATGAAAACTTTGTGTTTTCTTTTAAGATGGTGCTTTGCATAGAAGGAAAGGAAAAGAAATAAAGAGAAAATATATTCAAAGGGTATGGTACTTTTAAAAATGGAGTTTGGAACTCTTCTACAGGGATATCTCAAAATTTTTATGCAATGTAAGCACTGTATGTTCTGATGTTTGTCACTACCAGGCAATTTAAAATTAAAAACTGTTAACTGTTCTTATTACATATAACTAATTATGCTTGAAGTAGTGTTAGTACTGCCATATATATATAAGAATGTATTTAAAGTTACTCTAAAAGTGAAATAGAAGGGGTTCATTGGTGCTCTTTGGGGGGGAAAAGCAATAAAAAAGCCTAGCTCAATCATGAAATAAACAGATACCTACAGCAGGAGCATAAGGGAGTGGAATAAGCATTGTCCTGGGAATCAGGAAAGACCTGGCTTCTAGCCCCACCCCTGCCGCTAATGATTTATGCAATCTGGGACCAGCAATTCACTGCTCAGTGCTACAGTTTAGCCTTCTCTAAGAGAGCTGGGTTACATATATTGCTTTTGGAATAGCATGCAAGCATTCATGTTATGGAAAAGAGAGAAAGGAGGAGGGGGAGCAGCACAGGAGGGGAGAGAGAGAGGTGGGAGAGAGAAGAGAGAGACAGAAACAGAGAGAAAGTGAGAGAGAGGGAGAAGGGAAATGTAAGAGGGAGGGAGGGGAGGGTAAGGGGGGAAGGGGGAGAGAGAGAGACAGAGAGAGAGAGAAAGAGACAGAGAGAGAGACAGAGAGATAAAAAACAATTACAACTTACCTGGTCTGACAGATGGCCTAATAGGTCTCCTCCTTATAGTAGTAGTGTAAACTTTATGTGGCGCTGAAACAGAGAACAGATTTCATGACTAACAGTAAAGTCTCTCACGTAAACTAAAGGGAAGAGAGTAAGTCCAAAGGGAGTCAATTGATGGGAATGCTACATGGAAATAGAATAAAGTATCTCTTCCTGATGACCTCCGCATGATATCTATGAATGCGTGAAAAAGCATTTATTATACACTTGGTACATAACAAGCACTGTGCTATGTGCTGAGGAAATAAATATAAAAGTCAGTTCATGCTCTCAAGCAGCTCACATTCAACTATGGGGAGGCAGCGTGTATAGGCTGCAAGTCAGATGGAGAGGTTCCATGGTCCTTAGGGTGCAGGGGCCAAGCAGATGGTCATACATCTTCTTTAATACTATTTTCACTAATAATACCATATCCATTTTTAATGTTAAACCATTTGACATGCCAAGGACTTTGGAATTCGTTTTCTGTGTCTTTAATAGTTTAAATCTCTCTCTCTCTCTCTCTCTCTCTCTCTCTCGCTCTCGCTCTCTCCCTCCCTCCCTCCGCCCCATTAAAGCTCACGAATTATAGACACAAATTGCTAATCCTTGTAAGAAAAATATTTTTTACATTAGGTCTTAACAACCGGAGATAAAAGTAGGATGGGGTGGGGTAAACTATTCCTGTAATGGATGAAAGGGATTCAGATTCAGTTAGTGAAATTCTTTGCAAAACAAATCCAAACAAAACAAAACAAAACACACACACACCCACAAAACCCCAAACCAAAAAACCCAAGTTATCCTCATGGATGCTTGACATAAAAAACAAATATTTCATCCATTCCATCAGTATTCTGAATGAGAGGCATGGAAAGAATTTCTTTCATTGCAAACAGAGAAAAATATTTTTAGGTAGGCAAGTTCAAATTCATTAGAACATGTGATCTCAGCTAATAGTCTGTTCAGATGTTTGCTGGAATTAGAGAAACATAATTAGTCAAAGTTGTTTCTAGAATGAAGAAAAGTGAATTTCTAGCTCCAGGCTGTTCTTTGTATGTATTGCTGAAGAATTAGAAAAACTGGGTTGATAACCCTCAAATAAGCAAAAAATTGAGATAAAAATAAGCCTATATACCTTATACTAGTAAGTGCAACAGCTATTTTGGAAAATAGCTTTTTTGCTCTCGGTTCTAAGGTTGCTCCTTCTGACTAATGACATTACAATGACTTTTTAAAGAAAATTTTCTTCTTTGAACCTAGAAAGCATATTATCATGTGCTCCTTTAAATTTAAACTTGAAACTGAATCTACTTAAATGAAGGTTTGAATAATAGGACTTTGGGGTTTCTGCTAGGTTCTAATATTTGGAAAAATATATTCTCTTTCTGGTTTGGCCAGAGGTTAGCTTTCAGGGATGATAAGAAACATTCTCTCCTGAGAGACACACATCGGTGAGGGGAAGTAGGATGAAGACTATAGATGTATAGTGGTACCTGGAGTTGGATAAGGGGACCCATTGAGGTAGAGAAAGGGTGAAGAAGAGAAAAGTTGAAATCATTTTTGAAAATGTTTGCTTATTTCACACTTCTGCCTCCAGTTGGCTCTATTCTCTCTTGACTGATATCCATTGCGAAAAGAAATTGCATAGGCGGAAAAATTTATCTCATATTTACCTTCTATAAAATCTGACTGGCTCATAATTGGCATTATTTTATTTTCAAAGAGATCTCATTTTAGAAGTGCAGCCTCTATCTGTATCAATATCATAGTTGTTGTTGTTGTTGTTTTTAAAGAAAGCAAATTCCATTCAACTTGTATAAGTGTCTACTTTTTTGCAAGGGCAACCCAAAGCTTCCCAGACTTAAAAAAGAAATGATTACTGCTGTAAAAATGTATTCTTAATTATATTTTCTTCCTAGAGCAAATCTACAGGTGACTTGACACTGTGAACTCCTTCCTGTTACTTCCCCCCTGCCACTTTAAACTAGAATCAGAAAATGGTAGAGCCAGAAAGGGTTTTAGAGACTATCTTGTCCAACCTTTTTAGTTGACTTGCCCAAGGTCTCACAGCTATTTGTCTACAGAACTAGGTCTAGAAACCAAGTCCCCCGACTTCAAACTCAGAGATTTTCCCCCCTATACTCAGTGCTGCCTCCTGCCATTAGCTTTGTGGACAAACATTTAGTTAAGACTGGAAAGAATTTTTCTTGCAAACCATATAATCAGCTTCCAACATTTGGATAATTCTGTTCACATACTCTAAGGTAGTTATTTATATGTACTCATAAATCAGCAGTAGATGTATAAAATGCACACACATAAATAAAACCTGTGAAATAGAGTATACTGTGACACATTTTTTAAAGTTTCCAAAGTAAAGATTTTGATATGCCTAATTTTGCCACATTTTGGTCCAAAATAAACAGTCTTACTGAAAGTCCCTATAGATTTAGCTTGGGCCTCCCCAAATGAATGTTAGAAATGAATAGAGGCACTTACACACACACACACACACACACACACACAAACACACACACACACACAAACACACTTCCATTGGTACAGGGCATAAAATTCTCCTTAATGATTTCACTGGTTTGTACTTCAGCTACTCAATGCAAAAACAAAAATTTGAAGGTCAAAACCAATCATAACTTTTTGACCCAAATGATCCCATTCCTAAGATATTATCTTAGAAATTGAGGAGATATACTAGATTATAAAATTTTAAAATGGACCTATAAGTACAAAAATATTCATAGCTGCTCTATTTGTAATGCAAAAATGCTAAAAAGAACCTATATAACTGATTAAATTATGGTATATTGACATTATATCTATATATTTTTGCCTAGACCTATGATTTCATTAGTGTAGGAAGCTCTGAGTGGAGAACTTCTATCAATGCAAATTAGATCTTTTTCCTTTTTTTTTTTACATCACCTACATTCCCCAATGCGTTTCTTCCCTTGTGCCTCTCTGAAATTGCTACCCTTTATAACAAAGAATGAGGACAACCCCTGCCCTGCAACAATTCCCCTAAACTGACCAACTCATTGAAAAACTCTGACATCTGTAGTGTTCCACACCCTAGTCCTCCCCCTCTGCATAGAAAGAAGGGAAGTGCCATCTCCTATTTAGGGATTTTTTGTAACCAAATGATTATAATTTCACAGCATTCAGTTGCATAGCATTATACATTTAGAGCTAGAAGGGACCTTAAAGGTCATTTAGTACAATCCCTTCATTTTAAAGATGAGGAAATAGAGGCTCAGGGAAATTAAGTGACTTGCTCAATATAATGATCCTATTTCAGCTCACTTTACTATGTATCACGTCATATACATCTTCCCATGCTTCTTTGCATTCATACCATTTGTTATTAACAACATTAATATTGTATTACATTAACATACTAGGACTTTTTTTCAACCATTCCCCAGTCAATGGGCATATACTTTGTTTCAATTTTTTGTTATTATTCTTTTTTTAAAAGTGCTATTAGAAATAGTGAACATGATGCTTTTTTTCTTTTTGGCGGGAGGTATATGGCTAGAGTGGTATCTTTGCGTTAAAAGATAGGGACATTTTAGTCACTTTCTTTCAATAATTCCAAACTGCTCATCCAATCAACAAGCATTTATTAAGCACTTACTGGAAGCCAGATATTGTGTTAAGTGCTGAAGATAGGAATAAAAAGCAAAAAACAGTTTCTACCTTCAAGGAACTTCCATTACAATGGAGGAAATTGGTATATATACAGAGTTAGAGAAGCAGAACTAGAATCTGACAGGGAAAGACCTCCTTGAAGAAAGTCAAGGATTTTAAGAGGGGGAGGTGAGAAGGAAGGTAGCTAAAGCACAGACGTAATGATGGAAAGGGTATCACATGTGACAAAGAACAAGCAGAAGAGCTGGATGTTGGAGTAAGTAGAGGAGATGTGTATATGTATTATATGGGTATCTATATGTAAACACGCAAATATACAATTTACAATTTAACTTATGTATAAATAGTATCATTTAGTTATAATAATATAGCATAACAAATTATATATTAATATATGTTATTATACTATAAACAGAATACAATTAATATATTTATAATACAATATAAATATATTTAATATATGTATAATATGATATAAATATATTTAATATATGTATATTATTAAAAGAATGGAAAAGTAGGAAAGGACCAAGTTGTAAAGAGCTTTAAATGACAAAGGAGTTTGTATTTGATCCTAGAGATAATAAGCAACCTCTGGAGTTTATTGAATAGGGGAGTTACATTGTCAGACCTATGTGTTAAGAAATTTGCTTTAGCAGTTGTGTGGAAGATAGCCTATTGTGGGGAGATCTTTGAGATAGGGAGACAAGCAGAGAGCTCCTTGCAATAGTGCAGGTGAGAGGTGGCGTGGGCCTGAATATACAAGAGATATTGTGAAGGTAGAAACTATACGATTTGTCAGATGATTGGAACTAATTCACGTTTCTACCAACAGTGTACTAGTAAAATATGCATGTATATTTCCACAAACCCTTCAGCATCGATTACTGCTGTCTTATTTCATCTTTGCTAATTTGCTAGGTATGAGGTAAAACTTCAGAACTCTTTTGATTTGCATTTTTCTCAGTGATTTGGCATATTTTTATGTGTTTTTAAAAATTAATTTGTAATTCTTTAAAGAATTCTTTGTTTTTATTCTTTGATCATTTATTTATTGGGGAAAGATTTTTATTTTTCATGTATTTCTGTTAGTTGCCTGGATATCTTTAAAATCTGACTCTTTTCAGAGATATTTGATACATCCCCCCCAATACTTTCCTTTTTATCCTTGTTGCATTAATTTTGTTTGTGCAAAGATTTTCATTTTCATATAATCAAAATTATTGTTTTTGTCTTTTGTGATTGCCCCAATCCATTGTATGGTTGAAAATTTACCCCCTAGACATAGCTATGTATCTGATCTGGTCTTCTTCTAAAAATTTTTTTTTTTATGATATGATCTTTGATATTCAGGTGACATATCCATTTTGAGTTTA